GCAGAGAGGTGAGTCCGCTTCCGTAAAGGTCTCCAGACTTGGAAACCCTCCAGGCAGCGCACTCTGCCCTATGTAGTCTCTGTGAGATGACAGTGCGCTTAGATGAGTTTATCGTGGTGACGTGAGATGAAGGCAGAAGACTAAAGGGGTGAACTGTGTGAGTCATTCCACCTACCTCTCAAATCCACTCTGCTCGATCTGCCCTGCTCTGGGCTGTCCATGGTAGATTCAGTACTCTTCTCTAGAAACATAGCTCAAAGGCATCACTTCTCCTTCTATCATCTCTAGTCATTGTCCAGCTTTCTGATGCATAGCAAGTAATTGTGAAGACAATGTCCTGGATCAGGCACACCTTAGTATCCACACTGACATCGTTGCTCTTCAGTAATCTGGAGAGGTCCCTGACAGCATACTCTCCCAACGCAATTCAACTTTTGATTTCCTGGTTGCTGGTACCAAGAATACTGATTGTGGAGCCAAGCAAACTAAAACTATTTATAACTCCAATCTCTTCACCATCCATCACAATGTTGCCAATCGGCCCAGTGATGAGACTTTTTGTTTCCTGATATTGAACTTCAATCCATACTAAAGGCTGTAGTCCTTGACCTTCTGCAGCAACTGCTTCAGGTCCTCCTCAGTTTCAGCAAGCAGGGTTGTGTCATCTGCATAACGCAGGTTGTTGATGAGTCCTTCCTCCAATCCTGATGTCACAGTCCTTCTCATAGAGCCCAGCCTCCTGGATGATCTGTTCTGCATATAGATTGAAAGGTTTGGAGATAGGATACATTCCTGGTGTACATCCTTCCCGATTTTGGGCCATGAAGTATTTTCTTTTTCTGTTCTGATGACTGTCTCCTGGTCCAAATATAGGTTTCATATTGGGATTCCCTTTCTTCTCAGAGTTAGCCACAATTTGTTGTGATCCACACATTCAAATTCCTTTGCACAGTCAATGAAACACAGAAATTCCTCTGGTACTCTCTGCTTTCTGCAAGATCTATCTTACATTAGCTACAATATCCCTAGTTCTATGGCCTCTTCTTTTTTAAAAAAATTATTTTATTTCATTATTTTTTGAGTGTACCATCAAATCAGATATGACTGATACAGGAGGAGATTGTTCCTCCTTCTCCAGCAGAGCATCTGGTGGATTCGAACTGTGTACCTCTGAGATTGCAGTGCAGCTTCTTGCCACTAGGCCACCAGAGCTCGCCTCTATGGCCTCTTCTAAACCCAGTCTGCACATCTGGAAGTTCTCTGTTGACATGCTGTTCCAGTCATGTTTGGATCATTTTCAGCAGAATCTTGCTTACACTTGATATTAATTGAGGGAAGCCAAATATCAAATTTAATAATAGTAGACCAAATGCTGTATCGGAAAATGAGAGAGGCTTAATACAAGCTGAAGGTCACCTTGTGACACTGTGGCATTCCTTAGGAGGTCACCTTGTGACACTGGGACACTCCTTAGGAGTCAACATTATTCTGAGTTTTATCAAATTAATCCCTCCCTCTTGAAATTAACATAAAGAGGAACTTGGCCTTATCTGTAAAAGATTTCACCATTATCCTTTGTTTTGTACTTCCTTGTGATTCTATATAAATACTCAGAGAAGCATGGCTCGAGGTCTTCAGTCGAGAACTGCTGACCCCCTGTTTTACACTCTCTGCTCTATCTCATTCCTGGCTGTTTGTCTCTTTATTATTAATTATAAAATTATTCTATTCTTTGGGACCCTCGGTCTGCAACATTCTGGCGCCTGAACTTGGGACAAGGTGGTGGTTTCTCTTTCTTTCTCTTTTTCGAGCAGACGCCAGGAACTGAAAGGGAATTCGCTCAGGGTAAGTGAAACTTTCGGGAAAATTAAAAACAGGGTCATGAGAGAATCTTCACTCCTTGGAAATTAAGGATAGAATTAGAAAAAA